ACCCTGCCATTAATAGTTCGTGATATTTATGGCTATCCATATCCACACCACCTTGTTCTTTAACCCACATAAGGTTGTTTATCGGATTGATCGCATTCTGCTATTTAGAATCTCTCCGTATCCATTTTTCCTAGATGTTACTTGATTCGTATTCTGATTTTTCTTTCCATTTCGTCAATATACTTCTGCCACATGTCGCAGCAAGTTATGCAATAAAATTCAAATAAATTCAGTTTGTTTATCTTTCCATATAACATGAGTAAACATGAACAGTAAAGAATGATTTGTCGTATTTTTCGCTATGGCTACCAGAATATGTGACACTTAATATCGGTAAGAGGCCAGATCATCCGGATCTTAACGTGCGATAAACTGCGCAATGAATAATGCCAGAATTCAATTATAACAACCGAGTAAAAAAGACGTTTGTAAGTATATCATGCAGCTTGATCTTTTCTATCTATGATAAACGTCACAGTATAACTCCTTTATTGTGCATCCTTATTAGGCATTACCATTTGGGCATTAGTGAACTTCTTTGCCATGCCTCCCTAAAATAAGAGGACACTTTTAATAATCTAAAGAATAAGTTATCTAAGACCATTGATAATAGCTCAAAGCAAAAGTGTGTTATCAAAGGTTGGAGGCAGACAATGAGAAATAATGTATCGAGCAAAAGAGATACAGTGAATGGGGACAAATGAATGCAATAAAACAGCAAGGTATGAAATGGAACTTGGGGAGCATGAAGTAGTTTAGTAGTAGCAGTAGTAGTAGTCGTAACTCAGCGCAAAGTTGAATAAAGGATAAATCTACTTCTTTGAAGAGTGTGTAAATTGGTGCTAAGTATGGCAAGGCTCATCGACAATACCGTCGAAACATCTGGTAATGTATAAAATCAACCATCCGAAACAGGAAACTATGACAAGAGACTCCAGACAAAGCGCACTTATCGAGGTCGACCTGGCAACAGAACCAATTGTGAAAGAAGTCGAACACCATTCTATTCCATAAATTAGCTTGTTAATTAAGTTCAGTTAACTAAAATATAGACTTTAGGAAAAGTTTGCTCAACTACTGCTATTGAATTTCATGTGCTAATGTATTAAATCTCTAGGTGTTTAAATTAAGTCAATTAAAAACTTGGAGGCTCGAAATTAAACTATGTAACTCACAAAAACGAGTAAGCATCCATTGTCTTAGTGCTGCTTCCAGCTAAAACTATGACTCACCCTCTAGGTAACCAAAAAGGCCCATCTCTCTGCCCAGTTTGACGCGATATTTATAGGTCTCACGACGCACTTGCTCTGCTGGTTTCAATATAGCGGAGGCTTTCATCTGAGAAGCGAGGTTCGAGTCGGCTGATACGAGATATCTGCCCGTTAGGTTACAGGGGTCTAGAAAAAGGTTGGGAAGACCGGAGCGAACTTCATCCAAAGGATGCTTCGGACAGAAGGCATCAGAGGACTCAGTAGAGAATGGATCAGATCCAACTAGTAAATAAAAAATATTGAAAATAAAGTTGCATGTGTAAGATAAACAGAAATTCGAAATATTTCCAAGCCTGTTTGTTTATAGAGCACAGAAGTATAGTTTTACTTAACTCTTTTGCGCAAACTCGAGATGTTGACAGAAGGGCCTCGAAGAACGTACCCCGTACAGAGCCCTTTTCCATAGTTGCCACTCTAATTTTCAATGTGGGACCAGATATTTGGTACATTCCAAGATGTTTCACCGGTATCGTTAGTGAGCAGTTCGATTCGTAGCACCAAGTTGGACAAGAGACAAGCCGAGTCCTTGACCAAACGTTGCAATAGCCCACATTCTATCCTCTTCTTTTTGCTTATGATCCTATGACCAAGTTTGTGGTGTATATGCCTTTTAAAATCGCATTTTAATGTTTAAAATTCTACAGAGACAGCGTTTTAGACCTATACAAAGTCGAAACTGCGGTCCGGACTATTTAAATATCTGATGCAATGAGTTTCGATGGGAATTTTGCGGTAAAAATCGTTCGAATAAATATAAGTACCAATAATACAATAAAAAACTGCTTAATACTGCCAAAAATATATTCCTCGATAGCTGTTACCAAACGAGTACTCAGAGCAGAGACAAAAATTGTAATCAAGCAAAATTACTTTGTTACTGAGGTATAATGGAGTGGTCGAATTGGGCACAAGTGAATTCCTAACTAACCAGGTGAATTAAACAGATAAATCCATAAATCAATTCAGAAGCATATTATTTTTACAGAATAATTGAATAAAAGAGCAAAAAAGGTGCCAAGTAAATGAGAGCATACAACTCATCCATTAAGCTAGTGGATGAATGAATAATTGAGTATACATTAAAGAGATTGCATATGACGAGCTACTGAGTAATTGAAGTGCATAGTTCCTAAAGTAGAGCATAAGAAAGTGAGTTTACATTGATTAGGGTTAGTTGAAGTTCAATCAGCTGTAGAAAGCTGAAAGCAAGTTTATAAATAATGTAAATAAGAAAATAGGGGAACTTACATGTATTTGTCATAGATATGCCTCCTGGAGAATTTTCATATTTTTTGTGCAATGTTCTACAGCTAGGCTGTTCATTACTAGATGCCTCGTGGGAGGCCGCGTCTGCTTGAGTGGTTGATAACTTATCAGGATGATTGTCAGTCAGGCCAAGATCATCCTGAATGTCGACAGGCATCGGCCAAGAAGGGTTAATGTAGTGCAAATCAAGCCAAACGGTGCCACCGTCTGAGATGAAATAGAGTTCGTTGAATAGGGCTGATTTATACCAAGAAGGCAAATCTCTTGAAAGGGAAGGAAAGTAAAACTTAATGAATAAATATGCCAAGCAAACGATTTAAATATGAGAGCTCACTTATAAAAATGCCGTTCATTTGATGTCGACGAAACTTTTGAGAATGCACCAAGTCAACTGTCTGATACTAGGAATTATGACAACTACTATGGCAGACGACGTCGGACTAGGTGCGTTCTACTAAGTCTCCCTGACAACAAGAACAAGCTGCGACAACGAAGTCAACCCACTTCTATAAATCGAAAGGAGACTGCGACAATACCAGAGGTCACACCATCTTGGTCTTCATATCTTCAATTAAACTACAGTCGTAAAATTGCCAAACAATGCACTGAATACAGCCGGACAAAGAAGACAATTGTGAGTCAAGCTTCCAAACTGACCTTTTTAAACTGTTTTAAACGTTATGGTATCACTCCTAAGTTTTGTGACCATAACAGACCCTACCACTCGAATAAGGTTAATGACTATCTCCATAAGGCTTTTATTCAGAAACTAAGTGAGACTTATCTTACAGAGGAATAAGCTGTTTAAGTGTATAGATATTAAGTCAAAGCTCCGGCGTGATCTGGCAAGGATCCTGTCTCCGAAATTTCTTTGTGTAACTTCAACAAGCCGTAAGCTGTTGGTGGTAGTGCATCGTCTTTTCTAGTGAAGTTATTGTCTATTCATTGATCTCACCGTTCCTATGCATATTTTTCAAAAAAGGAGAACCACTAAGGCTGAGAGTTAATAACAGGTATGTAGCAACACACAAATAGGCCAAGTTCATGTCTGAAACTCAAGAAGGTAAACGACAGATTATCAAACACGGTGAAGCACTCATATGAATTTTCTCAGAGGATCAAAAACATAACAATGGAAGAAACAGAATCACAGGTAAGTTTTGATGTACAATCATTGTACACAAACATTTCTGGAGAAAAGACGCTGATGCCCCTGTTAGAAATTTTGGATCGAGAAGAGGATGCGGTACCTGGATGACTACTTTGCAATATGGTCGCATGGAAGCGAAAAGTTGGAGGATTTCCTGGAGCTTATGAACGGGGTAGATGAAAAAAATAAAATGCACAATGAATGTAAAGGTAGAGGGGCGTTTGGCCTTCCTCAGTGTGGAGATTATTCGCTCCTCTGGGACACACAAGAGGGAGAAAAATCGTCATACGAATAAAGGAACATCAAAGGCTCTGCAGGAAAATAGATACTGAAAGATCAGATATAGCGTAGTACATCGAAGAGAATGGACACGAGGTAAATTGAAAAGCAACAGAAAGAAGGGCTTCATACAGTTATAGCACAAAGAAGCGGAAGATTAGGGAAGCCAGTGACAACCTTGGGAGAAAAATTTAAAGAACAGGAGATTGGTAGAAGACAGAGTTAGCGATAAATTTGCCTATTTCACAATCAAACTCGGAGAAAACAGAGATGCAACAAGACAAGCAAAAATGAGACGCCTGGATCAAGGATCTATTGTAAACCAGAGGAAAAAAAGATCGCAAGGAAGAAGAGGATGAGGAGGTTTCGAAAATGAAGCGAAAACGTTTTTAGTGAAAGTAGTCAGCTCGAATAAACAACTACAACTTAGGGACCCGACGTTTCACGTGATTAGGGAGAGGGATTGTGTCACAATAATTGGGCTTTGTGGCCAAATGGGCTCCCCTCTCGAAAGAGAGGGGAGCAAGGCAAACAGCAGGTATGATGACGTCACGGTCAATTCGCCAAAAGGCACCTCTTGTGAAATAGAG